CCTAATTCTCATGCACTCTATCAGTATTTATGGGTGACTTGCTATGTGCCAAGAAAAGTGTTAGGCACTGGAAATTCCATGATGTGAGCCCGCTCCTGGGTGGGGGAAAGAAGAGAATGTCAGCACTAAGCACGGGGGCCTGTGGGCCCAGAAAGGATGGAATCCCTTCACATCTCTCCCTCTCTCCAGGTATACACCAGGAGACCAGGAATTTGAACGCTGAAGACAGAAACACGTTAAATCTCAACCCTCAGGCAAAGCCAGCTGCTTTAAATGTTTCCACCTATTAACCACTGGGATTATTTAGGTATGCTTATGTGATACAGAAAATGATACCCAATATACTGAGAAGCAAGAGAATGACTCTATTTTCTCAATGTTGCCTAAAAAATTCACATTGCTCGGGTGTGTTCTTTTCTGCTATGTGAATTGATTTAAAATGCCGGGTCTGTCCCTCAGTGGAAGATTTCCTAGATTGGGGGAAATTTGCTGCAAGATGAGGCTTAGAGAAATGGCAATTTGAAATAACCAGTCCATGCATTTGCTCTGCTGTTTCTAATCAATGTTTCAAGTTGGGTCCCATTAACTTGGATTTCTGAGCTGCCATTTTATTGGAGGTGCCAATTAAATAAAGGGTCATTTGGTCCCCATGACAACAGTGGAATGGTGCAGCAAATTAAGAAATATGGTGGGAGAGGAAGGGCAGAGACGAGGGGAGGGGAGAGGAGAGAAGAGAAGTGAAGCCAGAATGGTCTCTATAGCAACGGAGAGCAGATGCACGATGATCCTGCAGAAGGTGAGAGAAGTGTGCACTAGCCTAAAAAAGAACAAAAATCCAGGGGCAGGACCATGGAGGCAGCAGCATGGAAAGAGGCAGACCGTAACATGCTTCGTGTACTGATAATTATGCTTTGGGAATTAGTTATGACAGGAAAAATAAAAGCTAGGAGAAAAGTAATTAAGGTAATTGATACTTTTAACACTACTCTAGAAATCTATTCCTGTAACCTGGGGGTAAAAAGGCCAACCAGCATTGAAGTGCTAGACAAGAATACACAGTTTTGGACCCCTGTTCCTCAGAGCGTGGCTGACAGACTGGCGATGTCACCACCCCCTGGGGAGCCTGCTGAAAATGCAGAATCAGAACCAGCGTTTTTAACAAGATCCCCAGATGATTCCAATCCATTTGAGAAGCACTGATTTATCAGGATGAGAGCTGCTTGTTAGAGTCTCTGTAAAGAGCACAGAGCTCACAGAAAAAGATTCCAACATGTGGCCTTTAAGAAGTGCAGAACGCTGCCCTGCAGTGGCAGAGGTGTGGGATGGGGCAGTGTGACATCTGTCCAGGTACAGGCCAAAAGGGGTATACTGTCTAGAAAATTCTGTGCAGTGATAAAACTCACTGAAGCTGGTATGCGTGTGGCCCAGGCAATTTGGCTGTTACCAGTGAAAAACCCTCCCTGCATCCAGGGTGGACCACAATGGACCATCACATGCTCCCATTCTAGAAAGTGGTGTATCCCATGGCTCAGAGGAAGCACAGCTGTCCTCTAATTGGAACTGCCCTGCTAAGTACTTCTCCGCTGAGGGCGGCCACGAAGGCACAGCTTTTCTCACTCTTCATCTTTCTCAGTTACAGCTCTCTCATCACCACTTGGCCTTTTAATTTTCTGATCCCACAGAGATTCCATTTATAGACATCAAAGTTCAGCTCCTCAAACAACCCTTTTCCTCTTGGGAAACCATGCAGACAGAGCTCTGTCCGTGCTTCAGCAAGTTTTGCTTCCACCTTGACATGATCCCTGTGCAGCCACAGAGGATGGCAGGTTACCTGCACAGTCTTGCTGTCTCCCTCCTCTGGACCTGTGCAGATGAGGCAGGAAGGACTGTCCAGGAGAGCCAGACTCGCTCGCCAGCTGGGGGTCCTGGGCCTTCGGGGTCTCAGGTCACCCCTCTGTGAACTTGGTGTTTGCCACCCCCCATGTAAGCTGTCCTGAGGAACAAGGGATGTGACTTCAGGCCATGACCTGGAGCCTCACCAGGCCTCAGGAAGTGCAGCTTATTCCTGCCCACCCCCACCCTCACTCAAGTTATCCCTTGTTTTAGTCTGTCAGGACAAAGTGCCACAGACTGGGTGGCTTGTAAACAACACATATTTGTTTCTTTCAGTTCTGGAGGCTGGAAGCTTGAGATTCAGCATGGGTGGGTTCTAGTGAGGGCCCTCTTCTGGGTTGCAGATGGCCAGCTTCTACTAGTGTCTTCACACAGCAAAAGGAGAGCAAGATTGCATTCAGGGCTCCCTTTTATAAGGGCACTAATCCCATTCATGAGGGCTCAGTCCTCATAACCTTATCACCTCTCAAAGGCCCATCTTAATACCATCGTCACCTTGGGATTAAAGGTTTCAATATATGAATTCTGGGGGAACACAAACATTCAGTCCATAACATCCCTCTCACCACATCTTTCTAGACCTGGACTAATTCCCCACGAATCTTCCCTCCCTCACTGATTTCCCTCTCCCACATCTAAACTCCTGTACCCCCAAGGCAAGTTTTTTCAACTTTAGCATGATAGACATTTGGCACAGGATCATTCCTTGCTGTGGGGGCTGCCCTGTCATTGTAGGACACTTGGCAGAATCTCTGGCTTCTACTCACTGGATGTCCGGAGTACCGTCTTCTCCTCAGTGGTGATAACCAAACCAGTCTCCAGACATCCTGGGGCATGCAGGATCACGCCTGGCTGAGAACTACTGCCCTAGGGTCTGCCCTCGGATCTAGCCTTTGATCAGACACTCTTCCTGGGAGACTCTATATTGGCGGCTGAAGACCTGTCTTCACCGATGACCAGCTGTGTGGCCTTGGATGATCATATCATGGTTCTGTGCCTCAGCTTCCTACCTTGTTCAATGGGCACAGCAGTAGTGCCTGCACACAGAGGCCAAAGTGAGGGCTCAGTAAGTTCATCTGTGTGTTCTCAGCGCTAGGAGCCCAGCACTGACTGAACGTGGGGAGTCATCAGTCCTTATGGTTCTCTCAACCAGATCAAGCTCCCCAGGTGGGATCATGTATACTATGCTTCTGGCCCCTTGATAGTTCTTATTCATGCACACTGATGGGAGAGAGACCCCAATGTAGATTGGTCCTGCCTCCTCACCCTGGTTACTCCTTTCTTTTCTACATCATCAAGGCAACACCAGGTCAGGCTCCACCCCATCTCTGCCAGCCCACTGTCTCGGAACTCAAGTAAAAACTTCCAACAGCCACTTTCCTTTCTGCTACTAGGTTTTACTTCTTCAAGGTCAACTTAAAAATCATAAAATTGTTCCTCTAATCACTCGCAGCCTTTCACCTATATGTTGCTATTAGAGCCGCAGAACCCTTTCATGTCTATAATTATCCTCCATATGCATACAGCCATCCCAGCTTCCCCAGAGCTAAGCTCAGTGCCTAACAGAGGTCCAATTAAACCTGTTTGAATGAATATGCATGTTCAAAGTAGTTTCTTTAATCTTATCTTCAACGTCTATTAAGCAAGGGGTAGAATTTATTTAAGTATAGGATATAACAAAAAGGAACTAAAGGAAGCCAAAGAGGACTATTTCTTTCCAGGTGTGATTATCTTATGTGGAATTAGAATTTAATCTGTTTCATTAAAAACAAAGAAGCACCATTCCTGTGTCCCAGACACTCACCTTCACCTCCCACCCCCACCCCGACAGTGGAGGATACTGGCTTTGGTGACTTTCTTTTGCTCACAATGACTATTGTATGAATTCGTTCTCTCCTTTCTTTCTTTCTCCCTTTCTCTCTCTCTCTGTCTCTCTCTGTCCCCCCCCCCCCCCCCCGCTGTCCCTCCATCTCCCCACAAAGAGATAGCTATGTTCTAGCTAACATCTTTCAGGACACTTCTATAGCACCAAAAAAAGCAGTAGGTTTCCAGTCTGCCTACAGAACCCCAGTGCTTGGTACAGCGCTACTGGGGTCTGCAGAAGCTGTGTCAGAAGAAGAATATTCTTGGTCATATAGGCCACACAACTAGCAAGTATCAATGTACTCAAAAGACTACACACTGATGCTTCATTTCTAAGAAAACCTAATTTCTTCTCAAACATTCTCACTGAATTTTCCTTCAAGTAGCTCTTCTTAGCCTTACGTAATGGTTATCAGTTCAGCTGAGTAAGAAGTCTGTTCAGGTATGCAAAGGTATACATGGGCTAGAACAGAGGTTCCCTCTTCTTATGGCAACCAGCATGTGGGGATGGTGTGATGTGGGTGCCAGGAGAGGACAGACTCACTTGCACCACAACCCCTGGGAAGAAAAAGTGCTCTGGGATTGGAAGCATTTCCGTGACTTTTAACAGGGTGGGCAGATCATTTCAAGGACACCTGGCCGACTATAAGTGACTATCTGGGTTACTAGCTGAGGAAAATTCTGCTGAGGCTGAGCCCTGGCTTAGCGGGAGAGTGCTGTGAGGGATAGTGAGGCCTGTGGCAGGTGTGCTATCAGAGCATAGTGCATGATCTAGGATCCACCTTAGGGAAGAACCCGTAAACTGTGACTGAATGGTCAGCTGCCTGGGTGCAAGTCCCTGCCTTTTGTATCTGTGTCTTTTTTGGTGCCTGATGCTTCAAATACATACATAAATAATAGTGACTAGATGTCTGTTATCCTTCATATCACTTCAGGTCTACATCAGAAGATGATCTCTGATACCTTAATAATGCTCTGGCAGGTGGACAGAGGCAGGCCCACAAGGCTGGTGCCATTGATGGACATGATCTGGTCTCCAATACTCAGCTTCCCCGATTTCTCTGCAGGGCCTCCATGCATCATGTTGGCGATGATCACCGTGGGGAGGATAGATCCCCAGCCTGATTCCACGATCACCACGCCCAGGATTTCACCTTTCTGCTTCTCTATGAAAACCTGAAAGGAGAAAAACATTTAGAAAGCTTCGATTGGCAACCAGCTGGGAAGTAGTAGAAATCACTACTACTTTTCCTGCCTTGACTAAAGAAAGATGTGTCCTTGATGATGCCAACACAAGTGAGTTCCTGTCTTCTCCACATTCTACAGCATTTGGAGATTATAAAAAATTATTCCACACCCCTTTTTTGTAATTCACTCATTTCACATAAGCAATCTTGCCTCAGCACACAACTGTAAGGGGCCCTGGGTCTTTTAAAATTTCCGTAGTCCCCTGCGGCAGGGGAAAAGGCTGTTGGTGGGAGTTGTGGTGGCATGTCGTCATTTCCAGAAATAGCTTTTACATTCCATGCACAGTTCCCCCCTTCCACAGCACTTTACAAATTTTCTCTGACATTTGAGATTCCTGAGTTAAAAATAAATAAATATACAGAAACACATCCCTGCAAGGAGAAAGTTGAGGAAAAAGAAAAAAGTGATGCTGAAGTTATTACAACCAAAATGTTGCGAGCACACACAGGAAGTCCATATCCTGGGTATGCATAGATTTTTATGACCTTCACTGGCAGGACAGAGAGGACAGGAGTTGGTGTTGGATACTTCCATTCCAGGGAGGCTTGCAGAGATGCCGCAAAGGTAAGATACTTGTTGGAAGCATCCAACAAAAAGTGGATTTATTTGGGCCTGAAAAAAGTCCCCTTCACAGGCTAGTGTCCCCTTCTCCCAGCTGCTGCAACTCACAGTTGGCCCCTTCCCTGGAGAACTGTCATTCTCAAATGGGAGACACCCCTGTTAGGAATGAGTTGTGTCTTCCCAAAATGTGTATATTAAAGTCCCAACCCCTGGTACCTTAGACTACGACTTTATTTGGAGATGAGGTCTTCATGGAGGTAACTGATTTTAAATGAGGTTATTAGTATGGGCCCTAATTCAGCAAGACTGATGACTTTGTAAGAAGAGAAAATGTGGGCACGCAGACATACATAGAGCGATGATGTGAAGACATAGGGAGAAGATGACCATCAATAAGCCAAGAAGAGAAGTCTGGGACAGGTCCTTCCCTCACGGCTTTCAGAAGAACCCAATGCTACCAACACCTTGATCTTGGACTTCTAGCCCCCAGGTCTGTGAGACACTACATTTCTATTGTTTCTGCCACCCAGCCCATGGTACTTTATTACAGCAGCCCTAAAAAACTAACACACCCCCTGCCCAACCTTGGCCAATGGGCAGCAAGAACTACAGAGGCCTGCCAGCTCTTTTTCTCCAAGGTGGGGCAAATCTATCCTGCAATCTGTCCTGGAGATTTCCTCTGGAGCAGAAGGAAGCTCATACCCAGCGACACCACACCCTTCCTTAGTACCCTACCTCCCAGCTTCCCACACTTCTCTTATTCTGAGCACACTCTCCCAATAAATCTCTTGAGCAAGAATCCCCACATCAGGCTCTGCTTCTGGGAAACCTGCCCTATGACACCTAACAGATATTAGCAGATTAAAAGATCATTTTCTCATTAAAGGTTCTTTTTCCTGTGGGGTGAAGTCTAACCCGCCAACCATGCTTTGCAAGCTTTCTAGTTCTGACCTGGACCTTGGGCTGGTCTCTCCATTTCCTTTCCTGTGCCACCCCCTTCTCTAGCCAAACTATATGCTTCCTGATTCCTCAGACAAATCTGGAGCCTTTTGACCTTCAGAATTCCATTCTGTTCCTTTGGCCCAGCTCTCTGCTTGCCCCCACACTCTCCAAACAGTGCCCAGACTTCCATACCAGCTCAGATGGCCCTGTCTTCCTCCATGTGCTTCTGAAAAGCTCTGTCTGAAGTAATGGGGCTGTCTCGTTTGAAACCGAGATCTGCTCTGTTCTGCTAAGTGTGGTTTGATCTGAGGAGTGTTTGCACCCAGCACTATCATTTAACCTTTTTGCTGCCCCTACCTAGACTCCAGGCTCCATAATGGTAGAGTTCAGGTCTTATTTGTCTCTGGAACCCACCCAGAACTGAACTCAGGTTGGTTGGGAACACAGGATGCACTGCTTTTCTGTCTACACTCATCCACAAAAGCATAATAACAGGGTCCCAGAGAGGGAAGCCAGAGATTGATGTGAGGCCCTTCACAATGCCCTGCCACTACCACGCTCCTCATCCCCCTACCCCCACTCCGCCTTCACTTCCGCAACAGGGCTGCCGCTCTCCCTGGCCCTGCCCGGCTGACCCAGCCTGTAGAACAGCTTCAGGAAAGTACCTACATCTTTACAGTTTTCCGACTTGGAGAAGTGAATCAGGTCATCGTTGTACATGTCCTGGGTATTGAGCAGGTCACTATACTCCTTCTGGCTGAGGTCTTCGGGGTTGATCCCATTGGCCCTGAGGAATTCCTGGTACGCCACGCTAAAGGCCTGCCCAATGGACTGTGCGATCAGCTGGGCCTGGAATAGCAGCCAGAGAGGAAAGATGGCAGTCAGCAGGGTGGTGCTCTTGCAGGATGGCCTGGTGCACTCCCTGCCTGGACAACGGCCCTCCTGGAATTTGAAGGAGCTCTAGACATCAGGTGGGCCACTGGTTCCACAAGGGGGCACTGGTGCTCACTAAGGGCCATTTTCAAAATTACTGGGGATGTCTTTGAATACGACAATAATCAGCTATTGGCATTCAGCGGACAAGAATCAGAGGTGCTGGACATCCTGCCATGCGAAGAACAGCTCTATCTGATGAGTTGTTTTTCACCTGAACAGTTTTCAAATATCCCACTGGTCATTCATGTGATGCCTGTTTTTGATCATCTGACTCCAGAACTTAACTCTAATTTAAATATAAACACAAAGACTTTCACTGCACGGCTCCAATACACACTGAATGTTTCAAGAATTAACACTGTGTAAATCGAGGGAAGATGGTAGTTTGCTTCATTCAGTCCTTGATCAGGAGGAAGCCTCATGACTTGGGAAAATCATCCACATCAGTGTTGTCCATAGTATCTGAGTTTCCAATAAATTATAACCCTATTAGCCTGCACATTTGCTGCCATGCATGTGATTGTGTGTGTGTATGTATATTCTTATTCAGCTCTCAATTTGAAATAGCAAATAGAAAGTATTTACGATATTCCACTAAGTGCTATGTTCTCCTGTATCCAAACTTCATCAGGTCGGTGTAAGCAGCTGATTACTTCATTGTGCCTTTCAGAATGGTTGGGCCCAAGCACTCACATATTGCAGTACAATTTTACTTTAGCTTGCTTTCCTTTTGTTTCTCCCTTGTATTACATTTATGGTCATACTTTGATTACTTTGTGAAAGGTTTTCCAAAAGGGGAGGTTATAGTATTGTAATGTAGCATTAGAAAAATATTTGTTAGCCAGGCTCGGTGGCTCAGCCTGTAATCCCGCGCCTTTGGGAGGCTGAGGTGAGTGGACTGCCTGAGCCCGTGGATTCGAGACCCGCCTGGGCAGCGAGACTTCATCTCTACAATAAATCAAAAAATCAGCCGGGCGTGGTAGTGCATGCCTGTAATTCTGGCTACTTGGAAGGCTGAGGCGGAAGGATCGCCGGAGCCCAGCAGGTCGAGGCTGCGGTGGCTGGGAGCGGCCACTGCACTCCAGTCTGGGCGACTGAGTGAGACTCCAACTCAAAAAAAAGAAAAATATTTGTTGTAAAAAGAGTTGTTGGGTCTAACAGAGTGGAGAACCCTGATCTGGCTCAACCCTGTGTGTTCCAGTTGAGGAGACTGAGGCCCAGAGACACAAAGAAACTTCTCAAGCTTATCCAGCTCACAGTGGGGGAACCTGGACACTGCCTGCACTGAGCTTTGATAACTTCTCCCTGCATTAATTGAGCAACATCATTCATCAGGACAGCCAACAGCAACTGAGCACTGCTTATGTGCCCACACCGCATTCAAAGCCACACAAGGGCTACCATTTGCATCTCATATCGGTTCTATGGCAGATGTTAGTATAGACTGGTCCACAGTCACTCATCTGAAACTCTTGAGCCTATGTTCGGAATTCAAGCAATTTAAGGTTTTAGAATGGGAACAGGGTGCATGTACTGAACCCTGGGCAATAACCCCTTTGGGTCTGGAAAAGTGTACTGTAAATGAACATATTAACATTACACCATCTAAGCTTCATGGTAAGCTGAACATTCTTTAAATGGTTTCATGGTAGTTCAGGTCAAGTTTATCAGCCAATAGACTGCAAATGTCCCCTGTGGTTCTCAGAGCTTTTTAGACTTTGGAATTATGGATCTTATGATTGTACCCAGTGGACAGATCAGATATGAAGTTTGGGAGGTTAAGTCGCCCACTCCCTGAGAAGTAGGTGGGGCCGGGGAACTGAATCCAGACACCATCCTCTCATCTACCATGTGGAACAGCCTCCCTGTGAAACTGTAATAGGTAGAAAACCAAAAGCAAACCAGAAAATCCCTAGAGCAACAATTTAAAAACACATACAGTTCTAACCTCCAGACCTCCTTTCCCCGCCTTCCCTAATTGTTGGTAAAAGCAGGTAATTAACAGTGAAACCAGAACTTTCCATGTGGCTGGCCATGGAAACAGAAGTACTTAGCTTTCTTACTTTGAGAATCTGGTGACTTCATCTATGCCACAAATTTCATCAAGAACTACCACCTTCCTCCCTGCTATAAAAGTGGGAAGGAGGGAGGCATTGCTTTCCATATCAGAGAGAAGCTTGTAGAAGAATTACAAAATATACATCTGGGAATATGATCAGTGAACTTCCTGAGTATCATTAGTGGATGCACCTGGTGATGCACTGGCTACACTGAGATTTATGGACAACTTGCCACATGCCGGGTATCGGCTTTAAATGCAATAGCCATCAGTATCACACAGCAGCCCAGTAAGGGAGGCACTGCTACTCTACAAAAGAGAAACCCAAGGCTCAGAGGCTGCACGGTTTGTGTGTGGGGCAGGATGCAAGCCCAGCTCTGCCAGTTCTGGAGTCAAAGCACTCTGTCCGTGGTCAGGTCAAAGCAAAGGATATGATTCCCAGGTCCACTCCTATCCTGACTCTTGCTTCTCCATTCCCTCCTTTCTTCCCTGATGGACCCAAAGGGACTCCAAGGAGAACAAACACCTCCTCATGAACTCCAGGCCAGAGGGAGGTGGCAGGGGTCCTACAAGGGTTCTCTTGCCTGGTGAGCAGTGCTGATTTTGCCTTTTTACTGGCCTGCAAAATGCAGGAGGCTTAAGAGTCACTCTCTTGGAACTTCCCAAGAACCTCCTGAAGCTCCTCTCCTTCCTGTCTGCATGTCTGGCCTCAGCATCACAGGAGTGGTAGGGGGATGGCAGGGAGAATGACAGGCAGAGTTGTTACAAGCTCCCTGCTTTCCCAGAGACCTTACCCCTCTGCTGCTTTCTAGAGAACCAGAACAGTAAAAAGGATGGTGACCATGAGTGTCAGCATCCCCTCCTCTCTGTGGCCACAGCCATGACAGTTCTGGTTCCCTGGATAGAAGCAGGGGGGCCTCAGATGTCTAATTTGGAGAAAGGCAATTTCTGTAGCTTGATGAGCACTACTGGAGAAAGATGGCCTCTTTTGGGGGCCAAGGCTACTACATGCAATCTTCTCTTAAATAGATAAGGAGTCTCTGCTCCATGTGAGAGACAGAGCTTATTCCTCTGTGGCAGAAGGAAAAATAAGCACAGGAAAGGTGTGGCCCTTGGTAGGTGGGGGTTCTGCAGCTTGAAACCATTGGGGCTGTGGGGCCCACCCTGGGAGTTTCTGAAGCCTGCTGACGCCTGGGAGGGGGTGCCTGGTAGCAGCTCGCCAGGTGCCTATTCAGTCTGAAGTCTAGAAAGAACGGCCTCTGTTGTAAAGGAGTTTTCCCCATTGACATCATCATCTGGAGAAGTGGAAATTAGGAATCCCTGACTTTGTGCCAGCTGGTTTTCATAAGGACTGGGGTGGGTAAGGACAGGGATGCTAGCTTTCCTGTAGCACACACGGCAGTCCTGCACAAAAAGAACTGTCCTCCCCAAATGCCCTAAGCCTCAGGGGAGACCTGCTCAAGCCCCTACAAGTGCAATCAAATGGTTTCTACTCTTCCCCTCATTCCAAACGCTCCAGAAGTAGCGTAGCTTCCTTTCCCTTCCTCAGAGGAACATGGCAGCCCCTGCTTTAGGACCTTTGCACTTGCTCTTTCCTCATGATCATTTTTTTCAGGTCTCTGCTCAAAAGCCACCTCCTCAAGAGAGGACTTCATTGCCCACTCTACCTGAAATAGCCCCTGCCCATCTAACCCATCCCTGTCTTATTTTTCTGTAGAGCACTCCCCACTACCTAATTTTATGTTAAGTATATTTATTTACTTTGTCTCTCTTCAACTCTCATGATGAGGACCTTATCTGTTTTATTCAGCCCTATATTCCCAGCACTAGAAAAGTGCCAGACACACAGTAGTTGCTCAATAACTGTATGTTTAATATATGATGAATTAGACTGATTCGGGTTCTGAGAAGTGAAGAGGACCCGGTTACCCAGTGGCTGCCCAGGCCACCCAGAAGGAGATCAAAATAAGCCACCCTTACATCCTCAGACTCAAAGACATGGCAGATCATCTTGTACTGCCTTTTTCCATCCTGGGACGGGTGGGAAGCTTCCACATTCTCCTGGGAGTTGGAGCGGGGCATCCGTCGGCGGGCCATCAGCACAACGATGTTCCCGATGTCTGCGATGTAGGAAATGGTCCTCAAAGGGTGGTCCATCATCGTCTCCTGGAGGTGAGGGGAGAGAGTGGATAAAGTCAGTGCAGCATCTGATGACTGAGGAGAACCAAGTAGGGTCTACATGTGGGGCAGGCTCCGGGGCTACCCGCAAAGACCTTGCTGGCAGATTTATGTACACCTGTCTAGGGAACAGAAAATGATGTGTGGCGGGTGAAAATAAAAAGACATTTCAAACAGTTTATAACCAATAGACTCTCTGCCGGGCAGATTTAAAAAAAGATTAAAAAATCTAAAGAGCATGGCTGCTTTTGTGTGTGTGTGTGTGTGTGAGTGATTTTAAACACTATTTCTTAAAAGGCCAATCTATCCGTGTTAATGAATTCTCTGCTAAAGAGCATCCATGTTTTAATTCTTTCTTTGAGCTTTAAGAAAACAGTCCCAGGCCCCACCCAGTAGCAGGCATCGCAGACAAATTTCTAGCTAGTCTGGAACCCAGCATCTGGGGTCAGGTGCTCTATAGACACAGGCAGTCTCTGAGCGACAATGCCTCTCATGTTTCACCCTTAGAAGGGTGAGTAGCAGTTCATACCTGTGTGTCAGCATTCAGTACTTTGATTCTCTGGGTAGAAATGAAGAGATCCACTTCGGTCATTGGTTGAGATTCGCCTTCAGGAGCCTGAAAAGAAAGAAATGCACAAGAGAAGGTTTTACTATATTACCTTGACCCTGATGAAGAAGGAGTAAGGTTAGCTCACACACAGAGGACCCAAGACACAGTCACCAGAACGGCAACGCAGACTCTAGGATTAAATCGCCAAAGTGGAAGGTATCACACAAAGGATGGACACATGGACGAGAGTTAGCACCTCTAGGTTACAGGGAAAATGCAGACTCCTCTTTGTTTCTTCATCTATAGAAGCAGTGACTCACTGCGTAGATTTGACTCTTCGAACAAAGATGGCAAATGCCCCTTTCCGAAAGGGTTTCAGAGTCCAACAGATTGAAGGAACAAGGGCACAAACTCATAACCAAAAACCTTGGAGAAGTTACTTAGAGTTTGCCCCTGCTTGAACTGATGGGGGACAGTGTTCATAGCAGGTGCAAATGGAGCCATCTGGATGCGGTTCTGGTAAAAGGGTCTTCATGTTCACACACCACCACAGAAACAAAGAAGCAGCTGCCCACTCCTGAAGCCACCCTCTAAGAAAGAGCCCAGTGCCCAATGCCCCATGAGTAGTTCATAAGCACCTAGAAGCTCCACAACCAAAAAGCGCAGTCTGGTTCATTTAGGGCTAATTCTGCACATGTGTGGTTATTAGCGAGTTTTCTTTTTTGCATCCAGCAATCTGACAAATCCACAAATCAAACAGAGCTATAATCGAACAGACTCAAGTCCCTGCCACATCAATGCTCCTGAATGGTGGGACCTTCCACACTACTGTGTGATTCATTTAGCATCTCCAATCTGCTCCCTGTTGTTCCTCTGAAGTGAAATGACTAATGAGCAACAGAAAACGGCCACTTTGGGCAACTGAGTTTTGAGAAACGCTGGCTTATGGGGCGGTTAAAAAAGAAATCTGAACAAAAACTTGCTGGATGCAGAAAACAAAAACACGAAAATATAAAAAGGCAAAACAGAAACAAATGAAAAGAACAGGCATAACACCAAGCTGATGAAGTTGTTTGTACTGCACCTTCTTCCTGCTTTTGGCTAATTTCTGGGCCATCTGCTTAGCATGGAACAAACAGAGACAGGAGAATAGTTAGAAAAGAATTTGCAGAGACTCAAAGTCAAAAAGGGAACTAGCAAACTAATACTGATAGTAGTATAAAGCATTTCTGTGGGAGGATGACTGGCTTTACAAAAATCCCACTGTAATTGGTTTCCTAATTCAGAATTTAGTAGGTGGGAGGGGCAGTGGGACAAAGGGAATGTCTTTATACTTGAGCGCAATTGATCTTTTCAAAGAACCAACTTTGGTTCAGTTGTATACCTGCTTTTCTATTTCATAGAGTTCAGCCTAGATCTTTATTTTCTTCTACTTTCTTTGGGATTAATCTGCTTCCTGAGATAAAAAATTAATCTATGACTTTTCAAACTTTTTTTCCTCTCTGGTATTTAAAGCTATGAATCTCCCTCAAAGTTCTGCTTTGACTGTGTCCCACACATTTTGTTATGTTGCAATTTAATTATTGTTCCATTAAAACATATTCTAACATCCACTGTGATTTCTTCTTTGAACTTCAGATTGTTTGGAATTGTGTTATTAATTTCACTACATTTGGGGGCATTCCTAGTTATATTTTTTGCTATTGATTCCTGAATGAATTCTAATTCCACTAATGTTAGAGAACATATTCCATACAATTTCAATCTTTCAGAATAAGCTGAGGCTTAGCTATATCGTGCAGCACATGACGTCAAGGGTGAAATTGCCGTGTGGACTTGAAAAGATGCATTCCGCAGTTGTTGGGAATGGTGTTCTGTCAATTAGGTTGATTAGACTGGTTAAGAGTATTGATCAAAACTTCTACATGCTTGCTGGTTTTTCTGTCTGCTTGTTCTGTCATTTATTGAGGGAGGTGTGCTACAATCTCCAACTGTTCTTGTGAACTTGTCTACATATCCGATTGGTTCTCTCAATCCTTACTTTACCTAACTTGTAGCTACGTTATAAAGTACATACTTAGGATGGTATGTCTTCTTATTGAATTGACCCTTTCATTGTTCTCCTTCTTTGTCTCTAGTAATTACTTCTTGCCTTAAATTTATGTAATATTAGTACAGTTTATACCTAATTAAAATGGATGTAATATTCCCCTTTTTGCTCACAATTAAAAGAGAGCATAGTCGATAGAGATGGAGACTTGGGGCTGGCTTGTCTAAAACTGACTCCTGGCTCTGCTACCTACTAGTTGTGTGACTTTGAGCAAGTTGTATAATATCTCTGTGCTTCAGTTTCCTCATCTATAAAACAGGGATAAAAATAGTATCCACTTCATAGGGCTGCTCTGAGGGCAAAATGAATATAAGCAAAATTATGAGCACTATATTTGGGTTTGCTGTCATATGATTTACAATCTACCTATGTCACGACACAACTTCTTGGCTTTTGCTAAGGCTTGCTATTTACACAGATCTTGTACAAATAATGGTGAGTCAATGGCCAAACTGTTGAGGTGATGGAGGTGGGGTGGAGGAAGACTGCTCTCTCATATTCCTTTGTACTCACCTGGTGGAAAAGCTCCTCTGCTCTCAGCAGCACATCTCTACTTCATTAATGACAGTTTTTCTGACTAAAGAAGCTGTATGAGTCAGCCATCCAGACAACAAATGTCTCATCTCTGAAACACCCAGGAAGTGAGGGCGCCCCTACTCCCACACAGATACCTCATAGCTCTTACTGTTGGTCATGAGTTCATGGTGAACAGTCTGCTCTGAAAATGTCTGGAGGCAGCAATTACAAGTGTGGCCACATGTCATAATGGAAATATTTCGAATCCGAGACGTGGTCCTAGGCTGATGCTATGCCACACCATGCAGATTCCTGCATGGAATTCAAGAGTCCTGCATCAGTTATCACCTGCATGATAGATGACTACTGGGAGAGCTTCATGTTTGCTTGTGTTCCACCTCCCTTGGGATGATATGGCAGTAACGTATGAATTTCCATTACTTCTGATACCAAACCCTAATAGCTGTTGGTCAAAATTTTCCAACTTCAGAGAACTGTGATTTGAAAGCACTCTTTCAAAGGCAAATAGGTCCATCACCATCACTGGAATACTCAAGTTCTGTGTTTTGCTGGGAGTGGTGATCAGAAAGCAAACTGAGTTCTTGAAAGGTATTTGGAAATAATTTTTATGACATTAAAAATGTTCTGTGCACTTAGAGTAATACAATCTTTAAACCACTTATAATATCTGAGTGCCCTACAATATTATAATTAAAAACTGAGATATAACATCACAGAAGATGAGGGAGTTGGAGCCAGAATGAGAAGTGGAGCAGCAGAAAGAGGTCCAAAAGACACATAAGACCAGCATGCACTGCAAAGCTGGGAATGAGGCATCCATTTAAACCTTTTGTGTTTCATGGGATGGATCATGGCTATCACCCAGCAGGATGTGGTGCAAAAGACAAACTGGCACCACCCATCCACTCACTCAATCTACAGTGTGTATACTGATTATCTGCTGTTAAGATACTCCAGGTTAGTTATGCCATGGGTCCTCCTCTTTTCTTTCTCCAGTTGACATTTACTGAGCACTTGCTACATGCCAGAACCCTTCTGAGCATTTCTTACACATGAATGTAAATGCTTACAACAACCCTGCGAGGTAGGCACTACATTACCCTCATTTTTCAGAAGAGGGAAATGAGCCACAGAGAGACTAATGAACTTGACCAAGGTCACACAGCTGTGAGGTAGCAAAACAGAGATTCAACTCAGGAAAACTCATTCTATACCCTGAATCACTGGTTATGCAGTGGGGGCAAGCCTGCTACCTGTTGACTCAATATGGCTCTAAAATGGGGTTGGTGATATCTCCCTCACAGGATTCCCTATCCCCATCCAATCTGAGGCATAAATGAGAAAATGTATGTGAAGGGCCTAATCTGAGTGTCAGTATCCACTTTAGTGAGCATAGACTTCTTCAAGCAAGATGGGGAATGACACGACAGACAAAGCTATGAGAGAAATTTTAATTCTACAAAGAAGTAATTTTTGACACTTAAAGGACATCATAAAGGAATGAAAAACAAACAAACAAACAAAAAAGTCCTGATCTCTGGGAAAGGCTAGAAAAGACAGACATAAGAATATTTGATAATCGAATGTCCCTTACAAACATGTATGGAACACAAAATACCTAAACACCATTTGCCATCTAACTGCATGAATGGAGACACAGATACCATGTGGACATAAGTAGTCTCTGAGGTTCAGACAGGGCTCCACAGGCCACCCTATCTTCTGGTTGAAAAGCAGAGGATGAAGTGGGAATGAGAGTGGAACATAAGGGCAGATATATAGCAGAGAAAAAGGAAGCCCGGTGACCTCACTGCACTGGCTTCAAGTCTGATTCTCTCTAGATATGGGGCAGACATGACTTCCACACTTCTACCTAGAGCATATTAAAGACTGACAGCACATAGGGCAAAGCTCTCTCCAGAAACTTCTCCCAAAACCTGTTCCAGAGAATACTACCAACATTAGCAGGTAGATATCACACAGTGATAATGCATCCTGCGCTCAAATAATTATGGGAGCTGCTGGTTAAACAAAATGAATGAAATCTTAGTGCAGGACTTCTCAGAGCCTTAAAAGGAAAACATATATAGCAAATTTCCAGAAAGGTTATCTATTTGGTAGTATTTCTTGAGCTTATTTGCCAATGGAACCCCAACAGTGACAAGAACTTGGCCTGACTAGAATGATGGATGGCCCACCTTCTACTAAGGCAGTGGCTCCCAAACTGTTGTACATAGCAGGATCTACTCTAGGTCTTGTTAAAACTCAGATTCCTGGGTCCCACCTCTGAGTTTCTGACTCAGTGGGTTTGGGGTCTGGCCTGAAAACCTGCATTTCTACTAAGTTCCTGGGTGATGCTGATGCTACTGGTCTGGAGATCAGACTTTGAAAACCACTGCTCTAGTGTATTCCTGAGGCGTATGAGGTCTTCCTGGAAGGATACTGCGTCTCAAAAATGGGGAACAACAAAACCAGAAAAGACATATTAGAGAGGAACTAAAGAAGGAAAAAGAAAATCTTAAAAAAAAAAAAAGAGGCAGATGTCTTCTAGTTCTGAAATTATGTTCGGACATATCTTTTTCTTATATTCTGGTAGATGGAAAAGGCTTTTCATTTTAGATTCCTCAGCTTTCCTTGTATTGTTGTTACCTAAACATTCACTTTGGCATCTTGTCGGGAGCCGCAACTCCTAACAGAAGGCAAAGTAAGGGTTACCTGAAAATGGGAAAAACGCTGGCTGGGAGCAAGGCCCCAGCTAAAGCAGCCGTGCTGGAGGCAAAGCCCCATGGATCCCATTGATTGGCCCTCTTTGATCTTTGGGAGTGTGTACATAAGACAGAAAGAACCCCTTTCTGATGAAGCATTAACTGATAAGCGAGGATGATGTATTGGTGAAACTGAAGCTTGAGACATGAATAAGGAACACAGCAAAAGCACAGCCATTAGAGACGCTAGAGAATGTTAAGTTACCTTCGTCTCCATAAAAAGCAAAACCATTGTGTATAAAGAAAATAAAAGAACTTTCCCATTCTTTAATTTTAATGGTTAACAGACCCTATACTAAAATAACACCTTAGACGGGTAAGATGGAGGAGGAAGTTTGTGAGAACTGAGACAAGTCGATTCTGAGGGCAGCTGCTTTTAAACATGATTTAAGAAAGTATAGACATAGTAGATATAAGTTTGTAAGAGTAAAATGATTTAGTAGTATAAGTATAATATTATAGGAGAGAATAGTTAAGTAGATAAAAATAGAATGATAATTAAAAATAATTAGATAAAAAATAATTAAATAGAAAATATAGAATATAAGAGTAGTCAAGTATAATTCATATAAAGGTTGTTAAGCATTATTAGATTATGATTCATATAAGTAAAATAAGAATAAAGATAGATACATAATAGGAAAGTTTATAGGAAAGTTTATAAGAAATAATAAAGTTAGTTATAAGAAACAATAAAATTAGTTA